TCTGAAACTAGAAAGAATAGTCTACTGAATAAACATAGCCTAGTGATATATATATATATATATATATATATATATATATATATATATATATATATATATATATATATATATATATATATATATATATATATATATATATATATATATATATATATTAGTACATTAGCCAATTTCGGTGCTTATAATAAATCTACATTCGTTTTTCACAATTCCGACCGAAGCCTAATGCAAAACTATAGGTACAGTCAAGCAACAAATTATTGTTCATAAATAAAGTCCTAGAAGGCGTTAGTTTAGTTGTACCGTTGTTGTAAAGTTTGGTAAAGTCATGTATAACTTCCTCACGTTCAATAATAGGCCCCCATCAGTCACTCGAGGAACCTGCACAAATATATCACGGAAGATCTTGACTCAGCTCGTGAATCTTTTATTACAGATGAATATAAAATGGACCTTTATGTGTGTAGTTGACTGCGTTATCACTCTCTGCCTGCTGACGGTGGAAGAACATACATACATGCATACATATTCATTGAAATCGTTAAACAAGATACATACATAATATACATAGATAAATATTATGTAAAAACATTATATTAAGACACATGCTGACGTTGGTATATATGTATTAAGTAAAATCATCATACAGGTTAGCATTGGTTTATCGAGTATAGTGTAGATAAACAGTATAGCCATAGCAACAATATTTAGTATAAAAAAATCGACACTGCACTACCTCGAGGGGGGGGGGGGCACCTAAGTCTGTGGTCTTGACAAAACAGTTAGAAGTTTAATACTGTAGATGGTCTTGACATGTACTTACCTCAATAGTAACAGCGTTTGTAAAATGTAATGTCTCTTAGCCCTAAACATGGTACCGGTACTAGTTTCTTAAAAAGTTCATAATATTGACCATAAAAACAGTAATTAACTTCTTATTGACAGTTATATATCACAAACACTTGGCACAAGCATTAATTGTAAACACCACAAAGGTATCCCAAACAATCGTCAAACATTTATCACGTGACTCCATATCTATTCAGCATCTCGTTAAAGATTCATTTAGTGTTTGTTTATTTTGTATATTTAGTATTGTTGTAATAGCGATATACAGGTGGGTTGAAGAGGCAGTGAGTTGTAGTATAGGAATGTTTGTTTGTCATTGAAGTAAATTTGTTGTTTTCTTGTTTACAGTAAGTTGAGATTCACAGCTCCTCGAGGTACGTCTGATTTAATTTCGTTTTTGTTTTCTTTTGGTGACAGTCATGGGTAAAATCAAGCAACACCCTGCTCCTTCCTCCTGGTTATGGAGAGTGTTGACTGCCCACTTTCCTCTCTTGGCTCGTCACCACCCACGTGGAGTTCAAAAGCTGATAAGAGTGTGTCTGGAAACCGTCGCTTTAATAGCTCAATATGCCGGGGAGGGACTGAGCAAGGTGGGACACGCCTCGGGCCATTGCATGTGTATTTCATGCACCAAACACGACCTCCAGGCTACACTTATAGTCTACCACACGGCAAGGTGAGGGAACCAGGTGTAAACATGCCATTGCCGCCACTGTCCACAAGAATTGTTATCTACATGTTCGACTTACCCTGTATAGTGTATAATATTGACCTATTTAAATGTTCTAGAAAATAATAGGTTAGGCAGTTATCCCTTTTTAACGTGTTCAACTTACAATATATATATATATATATAAAGTTGTAGGTGTAAAGTTTTTTGTGTTCTGTTTACAGTAACCCGGAAACGTTTTCTTTTGTCAAATGTTTATATATCGTTTATATACACTTATGTTTTGACAGTGATCGCTACAGATATTAGCTCGCGATTCAGTCAAGACCATCGTTTGTCTGTAATTACTGTACCTGTTGTCGTACTTATACTGTACAGTACACAACAAGGTACTAGTTTATCGTCGCGCCATCTGTGGACTAGTGGGATACCCCAGCAACTGTGGCGTCAACTTTTCCTGGACGACTTACTGGAAGGGGTGCAGGGCTGCCGTAGTTCACCGGAGCGCCGCTCCGGCACCTCTGTTTTGATCAGTCAATTAATCAATCAATATCGCCGACGCCTTGTTCCCCCTGGGGAACTCCCCAACAGGGGGTGGCCATGGCAGAAATGTCTCCAGGCCATTTTATCCTTGCACACTTCACTTGCTCAAACACTCTTCCTCCCCTGCCTGCTCTCTCTCTCCAACAAACTCTATAACTCGTTTCTCCCAGGTGGCAATTGGTCTACCCCTCCCAACATTCCACTCTCTCTTTGTCAGCCTGTCTTCATTCATCCTCAGCACATGTCCATACCACCTTAGTGCATTCCTCTTCATCCACTCCACCACACTTCACACATGAAGTTATAGTAAGCTCTATATGTTGCTATAAATCTAGATCAATCAACCTTATTTTGCATTATTAATACATATACAAAACTGAATATATCCTCATATAATTAATCTCTCCTTCAGATCAGCTTACATTTTATGACTTATCAATATTGTAGAAAGACTTTGATAACAGGTGCACTTCTAAACACTTAAAAACAGTACGTCCTCGCATAAGAGCTATAGATATGTGACCAATATCGAAAGGATAAGCACATTAGACTACTACTAGATCAAATATATATATATATATATATATATATATATATATATATATATATATATATATATATATATATATATATATATATATATATAATCAACAACCTCACCCCGCCAATAGATACGCTTTAGGAAACGGAGATTATTTTGACAGCTCCGGTACCTTAAAAATTGGCACTGCAACACCTTGGAAGATGCCAGCTGCCACATTGGGAGGATCACCCGAGTTTATCAAATTAACCACCCCTTCACTACTGGGACACTACTTGTAACATCTTTGGGTTAGTAACGCCAGATGATTTTATTCAGCACAGAGAGGCCCCAGTACACAGGGGGTTAACCACCTTATCGCTAACCTAACATAACCCCCAGAGAGTGAGAGAGTCCACGGAATTTGAGTTTCACAGACTTCCAAAACCCACACAGTCACTGGGGAGTCACGAGCAAAGATGGTCTTTGGTCCCGAGTCACATTCACAGTCTCACACGCATGGGTCACCACCACTCACCAGTCAGGCTGCTAGGCAGGGTCTGGCTCACCAGGATCAGTGCCGCACCAGCCTCAGAGGATAGAGGGTGTTAGCGCGATCCTGACACAAAGTTTCGGAGTTTAAATATATAATCCAAAGTTTGAATCATAGTTGTACACCAACTTGATATCAAACGTAGAGCAAGTGAAGCAGAAGTAATTGTATTGTGTGACGGTAATGCACAGCGCCGTTGTATTAATGTTATAGTAGCAGAAGGAAAAATTACTGTGGTAGTGTATTAAGATGACTAACTGCAGTGAAGGAGGAAACTGTGACAACTGTTCTGACGTGTTAAGAGGAGACAGCACACCCGCCCCCTTACTGCTCTTCGGGGTCTTCCACTGCTACGTGGTTTTCATCCTCGGCACAGTGTGTGAGTATCCGTGAAGAGACTGTCTGTGCTTGTTGCTGTGGATGAGTCTAATAGTTGTGGCGAGTTTTTCAGTGTGTGTTGGGGCCCTGGGGGTGTGGGGGACTGTCGGTGTGTTAGGGGGTTTGGGAGACCGTCGGTGAGTTGGGGGTGTAGGGGACTGTCGGTGTGTTGGGGGTGTGGTAGACTGTCAGTGTGTTGAAAAGCGTGGGGGACTGTCAATGTGATAGGGAGTGTGGGGGACTGTCGGTGTGTGTAGGATGTGGGGGGGTGTCATTGTGTCAGCTTATTTTACCTGTTGATTAAGTACTAACGCTACCTTGAGGAGTTAGGTATGGTTAAATTAGTCTAGGTTATAATGTTAGGTTAAGTTGTTTGATTAGTATTAGCGTTAGAGTGTTTAATCATCAATTGTTATATTGTTATTACTGTTTTTAAGCTCGTAACAAGGATGGTAATACACTACTCTAACAACGTTTAAAAAGTTATGAGAGATCGACTGTCTGAATCACCAGAAGAATGGACTTATCGCTTGTGTACCGCAGTGCATTCTGGGGGAACCCCGAGGTCGACTCGGCAATCTTTGTTTTTATCCCGCTTTAATAACAAGGACTGTGTTACATACCTCTAGTTATTTGCTGCTAAAATGCAAGAAGTAAACTGTTGTAACTGTACCAGCTGATAGGCACCCCGGGATTAGGTTAGGTTATTATCTCCAATCATCCTATGGCGCCTCATCGTGGGGAATACGACTTATTTATAAATAGCCGGATTAAAAAGGAAATTAGGGAGTAATAATAAGTACCAATAATATAAGAATAAGGAATAATAATTATGATAAAACTATGTTAACAACTATGGTAAGGAAGTAATACCAGTATTAGTAAGTAACTTTGAAGTAACTTTCAGAAGGTAACATCATATTTTGGCCTGTGGGAGTATAAATCACACTATACCAGTTTAACCCTGGGATGGTATCTAGCCCAGGTCAGTGGGTATAATTTGACCTGTTACACCGGGACAACAGTGCCTCTAGACCCCCGTATTGTTGGGCTCTGCAAAGACAAAATTCAAGGTTTGTAAAGTATAGATAAATAACGAAATGGATTCACGAACTAACAAAATAAACTATAGTATATAATAAACTATCTCCTACAGTTCACTACTAGCTGTTAGTGTCATGGCAGTGTTGACATTGTTGAACGGCGAGTGAGGGCTCATATTATTTCTGATCAAACTAAAACTGGACTCTGATTTCCTTGCATAAAATCCTCTACATACAAGCCATCATCTTAAGTCATCAATTTCGGTGTCCTCAATCAAAGACCACTTTCAACACGATCTTTAACATCGCTTTCTCGTAAATAAAAATCGAACTAAAACGACCCGGACTTCCCCCAGAATGCGTTACGGTAAACAGTGACGGAGTTACACGTATAGGCCCTGCAGGGTAATGTGGGGTTACTTATATTCACATGATCCCTAACAGGTAACGTGGTAGCCGTGTGGTGTGTGGTGACGTGTAACAAGATTCATCCACCGGTTAAGTTGGTTTTGAGCAGCGTGTTCGTCACCACCTTTCTCATGTGCTTGGTAGTGATGCCGTTCGCGGCGCAGGTGTCGTTGTCGAAGTTGCTGTGTGAGCCCAGTAGAATTCCGTTGGCCGTCAGTATGTCGTTTGGCTTGCTGTACACCACCCTCGCCGAGATGGAACTGTTCTACATATCGGCTGTCGCCTTTCTCAGGTAATATATTTAAAGTTGTTTTGTATGACCAAAATGTTTATGTTAGTTCAGAAGCTTTCCTCCTTTGATGCCATATTTTTTAAGACTCTTACTGTACTGCCTTATTAATTTCCCTGTAATAAAGTTGATACTGTATAGAGGGACTCGGTCAGAGCGTATACAATATTGTTCCTATAGTTGGTGTCTTAATCATGGTACACAGTAGCAAAGCTCTTATAAATGGGGATACAAATTACTCTGTCAATTCCCAAAGTGTAAGTCAGTTGTTTTGTATTAGTAGTAGTGTGGTTACTTTCTAAACCATGACTCGCTTCACATACTGGATAGCCCAAGTATTAGTTTATTATATTTGAACTAATACTGTACGGTATATTGTTTACCTCTGAACTTATATGACGATTTTATTGAATAAATATCTATCAATTTATGTGTTGCCAGGGCGGTGGCGGTGTGGTCGCCACACAGACGTTCAATAGGAATGAAGATGGCTGTAGGCATCGTCGTCAGCGTCTTCCTCTACTCCATAACAACAACCTTGGTGAGTTACACACACACACACTTTATCCTCATGACCAGTTGTCACCTTAGTAATTGGTCGAACATTGTTAGCAAGTGCTGAACATGTTCAGTCATGAATGTACCTAACCATGTTACAATGTTTGTCACTCTTGGGCAGAGGAACTCACACTTGGTGTTGTAACAATTCACACTTTTTATTCCAAAGAAATAAGCTGTTTCTTGAACTCGGTGTTGTGACCTCCAGTGGGGCGACATTAGGCCATCCAGTCATGTGACATGAGCTACGTATAAACTGTAATCTGTTGAATGAGGTGTCCGAGTTCCTAATTTTTAGCTATAAGATTTTATGTATTGACAGGGACTGCTGGGCCCCATCTGGATGAGATTTGTAAAGGAGAAGAGCACGGCGGGGATGGTGGTCGGTTTAGTGTACACGTTCCTCCACACGCTCCTGCCCGTCCTCCTCACTATGGCCTGTTACTGCTCAATGATGCTTGCCGTAAGTTGCTCTAACCAGTTTTAAATTTCATGATTTGACGAAGAGTCCCGTGATGTAAAGTTTTAAAGGAAATAACAATAGAACCAGACATAATGCAATCTTGAATATTCCTCGCTGCTGTATACATTAGCATTATATTTCTCTCAGGTATGCCGGAACAAACGTCGTCTGGCTGCGCACAGTCAACACAGCACCAACAGTGTCAGAGTTATTGACGAGGCTACGCGAGCCATGATGGCGGTGTTCGTTACTAACCTCCTCTTGGCTCTCCCTCACTCAGTGTTTCACCTTTTTTATGATCTGCCGTTCACAACCTACGTCATCATCCATGTGCTGTTCTTCTCTCATTTCCTGGTGGACCCGATGGTGTTTATTTGGTTCAATGGCGGACACCGCCAGAGAGTGTGGGGGAAGGTCCTTGTGGGCCTCGAGAGAGTGAGATGTTGGTATTCCTCTTCCACTGCTGCCTCCATTTCCACCTCCACCTCCACCCTCGCCACCGTAGGCACACCCGCTTCATCCACTGACGACGCCAAGAACCACAACCAAATCCATGCCAGAAGTCAACCTGTATAGTTGTGAGAACTTTCATAAATCCATGGCAGAAGTGAGGTGTGGGAACACTGAATATTCTTGAGTGGACAAGTCTTTGGCTAATATACGTGACTTGTGATATCATAGGATAAGTTTAGTGGTTATATTTGGTGTCTTAACAGTGTACAAGCCCGCATAAATTTCTTGAAAAATTTGGTTGTATGAATGGAAATTTACAGAACTTGGAACTCACTTTTTTTTTAATTCATTCATCATTCATCTTGTTTCACTTATTCTATTGTTTTCACTCACTATAAACACACGGGATCATCCTTACTCCTTCATGAATTTGTTAATATTTAGGGAGGAAATTATAATCTAGATTATTTATACATTATATCCAGCATATGCAAATAAAACTTTCCTTTTTTATTGAAGATTATTATTATTATTATTATTATTATTATTATTATTATTATTATTATTATTATCATCATCCAGTTCATAATCGGTGCCACTGGCCCTCAACTGTTTGTCTATCATTTTAAGGTGCATGTTATTAAAAATGTGTTACTGCGCTTCAACAACTAAGGTCTTTATAAGTCTTGAGAAGTTACTCTGTAAACCATTTAATATACATAATTAAACCACAATAATAATGTTGATAATGGCTACATACGGGTACAGACACGTGTTCAGTGTTACTCACCAGAAGTGGAAGTGAGTCATGAGTAACAGCTCGTCACTTCCTCTTCTCCCTTCCGTTAGTCATTCATGGTTTGTAGATGACGACAACTGCTGGCTGACAAATGACATTGTTAACAATATATATTATGGTATTAGAACGGTTTAATGTCAAGACAGCGTCCCATGTACCAGCAGAGAGACCCCCTGTGCTCAGTGCGATACGTTCCTGGGACTTTCATGTACGATATGGTTTGGTATTTTTTTTCCAGTAGGCGTTTTTGTCCGGCGGGCTTTTAGTCCATGGGAGATGTCTCTAGTTGAGTCTTTTCCAATACAATGACATAACGTGTGGTGTGAGGTGAGGTTTTGTGTTGGCGAGAGACATCGTCGGTTACTACACCACCACCACAGCTACATCATGAACATGTCCATCCTCCGCTATGGAAATTCCCCCGTGTTTTATGTGGCAACAAAGGATTTCCTTCCTCGTGACATTTGCTCTACTCCCAATGTTGTGGTTCTTATCTTTGTTTTTGCTGGCCAGTTACGCCACTTAACTTAACTTTTTTGACATTTAAATACCTTCAACGTTGGAACGCAGTAATGCTTCTATCAACCCATCATTCATCCCTGTGTAACATAATCTTATTTAGTTGTTGATGACTAGTACCTTAACGCCAATAGCCAGCCCTGAGAATAATGGAGTCAATAGCCGAGTGATTATGTAGTAACACTACAACCCCACCCAATTCACTGCTGATAATGGTCACTCAAAAAGATAAAGATGTAGACAGGGGACTGATGTATTACTCTAGAACAAATGTAAATAACCTCTGTGTAAGGTACGTTAGTTAGTATCAAGGGAACGGATCAAGAAGCGAGCGGAAATGTGGCGTCACGGGGTCCAGTGATGAAGTCATAGGTGGAGGGGGAAGAGGCCGAGGTTTCCAGCGTTCATCGGTGCCGGGATGACTGTACCCCTAGTATCTAGCGCGTCTTATTTTTATCTGGATTCTTGATTCTTAAAGATACATTTTTCCGTAACTTAAAATTAGAACATACATTCACGTAATACCACAGTAAATCATCTTCAATACTAAAAAAAAAATATATATGAAAAGTTAACGGGATAATTCTGGACACAACTAGAAGACCAACACACACACATACGTTTCGTCAAGCGGGGATTTCCTGGCGGCGGTGCGGTTGAACTTTTCCTGTGCTAGTTTTACTCTTTTTCTCTTGGTGACTGATGATTAATGTGCACACAACAATATACTTTTTAGAATTAGTGTACATACAACATTTTGAGAATCGGCTATACTAAAAAATTTCTGTACACGAAACAAAGTGAAAAATTAATTGTTACCTATAACTAAAATAATGAGAACTAAATATCATTGTACACAACAGCAATTAGGAAAAATCAGATTTTATATAATAAAGGCTTTGCATAAGCAATGTCTTCATGAATGTCTGAAAAGCTATGTTCAATTGTTGTCGAAAATCCCCATGTTATTAACAATATATGACATTTAATAGCGAGTCATATAGTGTGGCTGTTTTTATAGGTTATAGCTGGTGAGCTTTGTTTTCCATTATACTGGATATTATTGCAGAAAACTACACGAAATAACTCCAGATTATAAAGAGAAATCTGGGTTAATAATAGATGTTAAAAATCATAATTTCTCGTGTCTATCGTACTCAAGGGGTTAAACCATCTTACTTAATAGGTTAAGATGCGTTAATCAATGGACTCAGGAACAATACATGAAAAATTAAATGAATGAATACAAACAGGACAACTGCCGCAAGAAACTTTTTCACCGGACAAAACAAAATTTACCCTGAAAAACCCAGTGGGTGAGGTTAAATGGTGTATGTTGATTAGTAACACGATCAGATTTCTTAAGCGACGGAAATTAACCGAGCATTTCTTTATTTAACCAAAAATACTCAATGGTCGTTAAGTTAGGGTATATTAAGTTACGTTAAGTTAGATTAAGTCACAGTAGGTGAATGAATTAATAAAGGCTAGTGACGGGGGAAGGAGGTTCAGTGGAAGTTTAAAAGGGAGGATGGGGGGGAATTTTAGTGAGAGAAAAGGGTGCCATGGCTTAACACAGCTTGCGTGTGGGCGATGAGGCACTGCCATGATTGGTGGAGGGAGCTACACCATCTTCGGACTCGGCGGGGGGGAGGGGGACCATGATATAGGCGGCTCCAGGCAACGGTCTGTATCAGTGTTTGGAAGACCGTCACCGCCGCGAGTGCAGTGCGAATTAAAACAAAACGAACAAGGAGGGCGCACACAACCAAAAGAAACCTATACATAAAGCTAGGAAAAACGAAAGGTAGGTTAGTTATAGGGTTGTTTGGGAGAAAGGTGAAGGAAGAGTTTTGAGTCTTTGATCTTGAAATGTCAAAGTAATCATAGCATGGAAGGATGAGAGTATCGTAGGAGAGGTTTTTGGTGAGAGTAGGAGAAAGATTTTGAGGTCATGTTCGGGTCCACTGGTAAAAAAAAAAGGTTCAGTTGCCATAGTAGTCGTGTTTCAACATTTTCCTTCCTGTAGTGATGGGTAAGGCCTGTGTGGGTGTGTCAAGGTTGAACAGTCTCTGCAAGTTCAGTTATTGCCGCACTCAGTGTAGTGTGAGCACTGCCCGAGAGAAGGTGTAATGGTTTGCCCTCACCCGTTCCTGCACCTCAAATGAAATCTTCTTGTGTTCACCATTCACACTAACTGTTTGTTCTGTACTTATTAGTGGAAGTTTAAGTGCTTTGCCCATTTATTACTCCAATAAACATTTGTCACTAATATTCGTATCTTCTGACACTCATTGGAAACACGCTAAGCGCTAAACCGTCCTTGACTGTAGTATCACTGCTTCGTTATAGAGGACATCTCCGGGCGCTTCTGATCGTTCATTCTGGTGTTGTGATTGTGATGTAGCCCAAACAAACATACCTTCACGTTTGTATTTGTCGTGCAGGGAATGTTAGAAAGGTTGTTTGTCGTCAAGATTTAAGGTTGCTGAAGAGGTACAATAGCAGTAGTAAATATTGACAACCTTGATCTATACACGTCAGGAAAGTGTTAATGATGTGAGGAAGACTCGGTACTCTGGGTGTTAAAGAGGACTCGGTATTCTGGTGTTAACGAGAACTCTGTACTCTGGGTGTTAGAGAACTCGGTTAAGGAGCTGCCACGATGATCAACTGTACGGAACCTAACTGCCAGAGATGCTACGAGAAAGGCCTATACGGGCCTGACGAACCCGCCATCTCATCCCACCTACTAAAGTTCGCTGCCGTCCACTGCTACCTCGTCTTTCTCCTGGGCACAACATGTAAGTATCTGTGTCACTAGGAGGTCTTGGACACAACACACACACACACGCTGACACATATCCTGTATAGATATATGTATTACATCTTTCTATTGGTGACGATACAATAGAAATGGTACAGAAGAGTTGCGTGTGATGTCATCTTAGGTGATGTAACGTGACTCGCCCTTTCATATACGTATGCAACTCAAACGTATTATCAAAGGATCAAATCTTTATGATACTTGTTGTAAATGTAGTCTTGCATTATTATTATTATTATTACATTAGTATTTTCATTATTATTATATTACTATTTTCATTATTATTAATATATTAGTATTTCCATCATTATTATTATTATTACAGTGATCATTGGTCACAGCACAATTTGTTACATGAACATTGTCGCCATTTGTTACATGTCACAGTGGTGTCAAGTGTTACTGTTGCAGGTAACGGCGTGGCATTGTGGTGTATAGCGACATGCACCAAGACCAGACCAGCAGTGAAGGTGTTGCTGTGTAGCGTGTTTGTGCCCATCATGGTGATCTGCCTGGTGGTACAACCTTGTTTCGCCGAGATGCTGTTGGCCCTCCTTACGTGTGACGATTTGCGGGCGCCTTGGCCCTTCAAGGTGGCCGTGATTTTGTTTTACAGCACCCTCGCTCAGATGGAACTCGTCTGCATTGCTACAATTTCTGTTCTCAGGTAATGCTAACTTTGTTAGTGGGTCACTTTAGGGGGTTCAAAATTGACACTAACTAACTCAGTGTGCCGAAAAGCAAAGTCATTTTCCATTATTGTTAACGCTCATAGGAGCGTTATTGGTTTGTGCTGGATAATAAGACCCTTGTTGACGCGATGAGTATAATTTGGCCAAAACCTGTTAAAGAACAATTCACATATAACAAATGCTGGTATATCAGGACACACAGTTTGAATAGTACGATCAATATACAGTATATAACCTATTAACCTCTTAAATATAACTCACATGTTACAACTGCTGATACATCAGGACACAGTTTGTATAATATGATCAATATACAGTACATAAATACACTTATTAAAGTTATCTAGAGTTCTTAGAGGATTTAATAGTTCACAATCACACTCACGTTTTGGGGTCTAGGGTTTGACCAACGAGAACAAATATAATATCCTCCTGGTAGCTGTTGTCTCTACAGTAGAAGGCGATAGACTGTCCCCTCAGACAGTCACACAGCTGCTACCAGCGTGGCCGACGCGCTCATTTAAACACCTCAGCAAAGTTCGTTGTCAACACTGTCTCTCCTCTCACCCTCTCTTTCGTCTAGTTTATCTTACTATGGCTATCCCTCTCTTTCTCTCTCTCTTCTAGTTTATCTTACTGTGGCGGTAACAATTATTATTAACAGGAAGCTTTGCCATACACTCACAATATAAACAAAGTGATTATCCTTTTTTTTTAGTTAGTTTAACAAATTTATTGACAGCTTGGAGTACAGTTTGCCTATTCTGAGTAATTCAGTCAGGTCTTAACACTGAGGGTGGTATCACTTCTCACTGCCACGCAGGGCAGAGGTTCATTCACAAAGAAATACAACATATTCAGTAACAGCTATATATATAGAGGTCAGATTCATGTAGGTTATGTCACTGTTCACTGCCATGCAGGACAGAGGTTCGTACACAAAGAAATACACCATATTCATTAGCAGTATATATAGGTCAGAGTCAGGTGGGTGATTATCCTCGTTCACATCGTACATTGATAAGGTGTTCACGATTCGACCATCATAATAATACTAGTAATAATTTCCTATGTCTACAGGAGACATTGTAACAGTAGAGCGACTCGGCTACTGAGATTAACAAAATACTTCCATGTACATTTGTTTTTTATTCATGGATGTAATTCTTAAGTAAATCTGTTATTGGTATTTTCGTTTCCTTGTGTGTGTGTGTGTAAAAGTTGTGAACATAGTAACTGATAAATATAATCAGGTTTCTTCGACAAGCTCTTCGCCGGGTTCAGTAATCATTATTTTGGAGAGTTGTGGCTCTTGTTGTTCCTGTGGCTGTGAATGCTCCTGGATCCCTGTCCTTGCAGTCAACTTATCAATAATATTGTGTTTACAGAGTGGCGGCGGTGTGGTCGTCACACAGACACTCGGTGGGGCTGCGGGCGGCTGTCGGTATTGTTGTCACCATCATCGTCTACTCTGTCCTCATCACCCCGGTAAGTACACCAAGTTTTCACAAGCATGGCGTTAGTACATAATACAGTACAGAAAATACTAATCAACACGTGACATAAGCGGGGATTATTAATTTTCATGAGGTCCCTTTTAGCCTGAGTCATAGGAAATCAGGTTTGAGGAAATATCTAGAATCGGTTCGTAAGACACACAGAGCCATATATTGATAAACTATACAGTTTTACAAATTACACTAACTTACATTACTTTTTGGTCAGAGTTTACTGGGTTCACTGCTTCTGCTCAACCTGAAGAGTCGCTTGGTAAAGAGGGCCATCAGTTTCTTGTACTTCTTCCTCAACACTATGGTGCCTATCCTGGTCACAATATCTTGCTACGTCGTCATGATGATCGCAGTAAGTGTCTTATTACATTCCTGCCAAGTATGGATCATCAGAAAATACCTGATGTGATTTATTTCAGGCAGTTTTGAAGCACATAATTGAACGCAATGCTTTTGTAATTTTAATCATAACAGCATACAATTTTATGAAAGGTTACTTGATATTAAATAAAAATTCATGTATTTATGAGTGTCTGTTGCAGGTGCGCCGCAACCGTCTTCGTCTAGCGGACAGTCACAGTCAATCGAGAGACAGTGTTGTGGACCAGGCGACGCGCGCAATGATGGCCGTCTTTGTCAACAATCTTCTGTTGGGCTTCCCTCATTCAGTCTACCATCTCCTGGAGGATCCACCACGCACTGCAGCCGTTGGATTCCACATTCTGTTCTACACTCATTTCGTCGTGGACCCTGTCGTGTTTGTTTGGTTTAACCGCAATTACCGTAAGCGGGTGAGTGAAAGGGTCATTATGGGTCTGAGGTGGATGACGAGATGTTGCTCCTCTTCTCCTTTAACCACGACTGCCTCTACTTTCACCCTCCACGTTTCATCGTCATCCACGCCCTCCACCCACCAAAAGTCAACTGTAAGTAGTGAAGTTGTATCAGAAAATATGAAACAGTGATCTAATGTGACTGAGACAACTGTGATGCAAAAGTTGGTAGCTTAATACCTCACTACAGTATATGTAACGCGGCGGGCACCTTTCCATATTGCACCGTTATTTGCCCTTTCTTTCGAAGGAGTAAGATAATGCTTTAAGGAACAACCGAAGACATGTAAACAGGACATTTATGACTAAGAAACTTATTTTGCATCGGTGACATTAAATTTTCTAACCACAGATTATGTGGTAGTGGAACGGTGCCGCGCCATCGGCTATTTAAAGCTTTTATATACCGTCTATGCAGAAGCAAGACACTTATTCCATGGAAGCAGGAACCAAAGTGGTACATAAAAAGATAGCCTACATAAATGTATCTTTACAGTGACATCAACAACGCTCCAATACGGTACCATGCTACGACCACGCAGCAACGTTCAGCCAGCGACTTGAATCGTACATCTCTGGCTTTTCGGGGGGGGGGATTAGTCCACCCGGGCACAGGTCACTGACCCACATCGGGGCCTGGTAGGCGAAAATTTAAATAATAAAATTTATAATAAATAATACAAAATTGAAAATAAAATAATAATGATAATAACAATAACACTGTAATAATAATAATAATAATAATAATAATAATAATATTAATGATAATAAAGAAACAAAGAAATAAAAAAGATCAATAGTAAGAAATTATATACTTTATGTATGTTGTGTTGTCAGTAGCAAGAGAAACAATTGAAACCCTGCAATTGTGTGCAAATGAGGCAGAAAGTCAGATCAGCAACCCGGGACTTGGCCACAATTTTCGTGATGACCTATGGCAGCAGGGTCTACCATTAGACAACACATTATGCTTCCAATATCTTTCCAGGAGGTAGTTCCTCCCTGTTTGGTAGCTGCCTACTACCCACTACCTCAAATACAATCAGTTATTCAATTTCTATTAATTTATGATTTTAACCTTATAAAGAGAGATCTTGTAGACTTGTTAAGAGCTTTTGGCTTAAGTGATATTTAGAAATAGAGGTGGTTTTGTGTCTGAAGGCCAGTTATTCCTCGCCTATTCCTGTCAGACCATCTGTTTCTTAACCTTTAATTTTTATTTAAATAGTTAGAGTGCCATTAAAACTCACTCCATCATCTCTCCCCTACCCCCTTTTCAGTTTCATTCGTTATCGTGACAATCCTTATTCAGAACAAGTTGTTTTTACTCCAACTTCACATCATTACCACCTCCATTCCTCGCACTTTCTCCCTGTCCTCTCACTCATTTTAATCTACATACAACTTGGACATATCATCCACTTCATTGTACAATTTTAATTGTCTTATCTCTTGTTTACCCGGGGAGACTTAATTAAACTATGCGTCATTTGTCAGTTGCATTAACCTTCTAGTCCTTTGTAAGTATAAAAAAAAATTACACTAATGCTAAGTGGTAATCATGTAGTACATTTAACAATTTGTAACCGCCTTTGTATCTTTACCTGTGCTGTATTGTTGTATCTTGATTAATAAACTGTATAACAAACATTTTGGGTGGAGCCAAGTGCAGAATCTCCTTTGTGAATATCTGAGAATACAATCCCCGTGGCTGGCGTTAATTAACACCAGTGTCTTCCAGGTTATGGGTGCTTAATGGTAATATAAAATTGTAAAAGAGACAACCATTACTTACTGAAATTATCAAGATTTTACTTTTTAATTTTGATACCGTACGAAATGTAATACTCGCTTGGAGCTTTTTGGCAACGGGTGATACAGAAGTTCGGAATGATGGGAACATTCTTCAGTTTTATTATAATGATTTCTCAAACTGAAATCCACTAAAAACCATACGCATGTTTTGTTGAACGGTTCCTTACATTGACACGTCACTGTAAGGACATTCATCTCGGAGGTGAATTACGTACAACACCTGACCTTGCATAGATTCTTGCACTCTTTAACTTTTTAAAGTAGATTTCAACACTCATAGCGTCATAGGTTGTAGAATATTATTACTAGTTGAAGGAAAAAATATTTTCTTAGGGTCAGTGGTGAGGTAGCGGTTGTGACGACACTGGGTGGGGCAAGGAACACCCACACGGCGACACTTCTTAACTTGCATCATGTAATCAGGAGTGGCAATGTTGTCACCCCTCTTGCCACCTCTTCCGTTATACATGTTCTGTTGTTTATAAATCATTCATGGTCAGTTTGGTATAAATTTGACAGAATTTTTATAAATCCAAACCTTGGGCTCAATTATCACTATATTCATTCTCAAGAGAAATAACTCATATTTGATCATCGGAAAACTAAATATTAAAGCAAAGAAAACGTATGACTAGGCTGCATGGAGAAAAAACTTAACGCAATCCTAACTCGTGTCTATCATCTTCCTAGTACTGTGACTCTAGCAGCAAAGCAATAGTAGTTTTATAGAAATGAAGTCATTTAAGCATTAGGGGTGGATAATTAGCATTTTGTGTATGTATGACTTTTATGTTTAATTTTTGTTTTGGGCAAATATTTGCATCTTCAGTTACGAGGAAAACTTGACGGGTGTGACAAACTTACTTTAGCTGATGCAATAGCTACAAATATACATAATGATGCCATTACTAATATTAGTAGTTATATAACAAGATTATTTAGTACTGTAGTTTAGCTGTATAGTATGACGTTACAGTGTACATAGTAGTTAGTTATGTAGTAGGAAGTTACGTAAGAGTTACGTAACAGAAATTTAAAAAGAAATAACGAGAGGTTCCATTCCTCAGGTGGAAGGTGCAACCATAGCGTAGTGTTTCTGTTATGCTGGCAAGAATTATGTAATATTTATTGACGTCATAATCGTTTATTCATCATCAGTGTTCTTATAATGATTTGTCGTCTTAAATAGGATTAAGTGTTATATGATGACCTTGACTTTGTAGTGTTTCGAACGCTAGTGAATTCTTTAGTGGTGTCTGAGAAAAAAGATCCATCTATTATTATTATTATTAATAGGGAATATGTTGACCTACTCAGAGCTATAATTTGTTGACTTGAGCCTTTTATAACACCGTTCCCCGTCTGCCTGTACTTCTCTACACCTGTTTATACCTCATGTGTTGTATAAATAAGGTACTTTTCTAGTGTAAAAGGTAGAAGCAGATTGAAGGCCGCGTCACTCGTTGGTAAGTGAAATTCCTCGTGTAATTATTTCGTAATTAATCATCTACTGTACCTTATGGAACATAGTACAGAGTATGAATATTTAAATGACATTATTACTCTTGTGTAAGAATTGTGTCAACACCGATGGACGCAATGGCTGGGTGCTAATAAGTGTAAGGTAAGAAATTGTTTATACAGTAATGGTTGATATCAAGGAGCGCCTATGACAGCGCGGCACGGACAGCAATACCCACGAGTCAGACCGAGGTCTACCTTGGGTCACACTGAAGCCAGCCGACCCATACGCCGCCATCTTGATTTTGGCAAAAGTCACTACTGGCCGCCGCTACTCAAGCACCAGGTAACATAAATGTTCCTGACATGCAATTATAAACGGTCAGTTATAGGGAAAAACGAACTTTGGTTGTATTTATTAATAAAAATAATTGTGTTTGATATGAAGTTATTTCAAATAAATACACAGTAAATCCTTACAACCAACATAAATATGACATTATTGACCACTAAACACGATAAGTTTGGTGGAAGTTTGACGACTCTTCATTCTATTTGTAACTTGTAACCTCGAGGTGAACTGTTACTGTATACCTCACAACTTTAGTTGACAAAATCATGTGATTTTCTAGTGGATCAATCTCCAACATGCTGAGGTTAATCAGGAAATATTGTCTTTCTGCTGTAGCATGATAATATGGAATATATATTTTTTTTTCCGCTCCGAGCAGTGTTAACCCTTTTCATTTCTTCCATTTCGTGCAGTGATGGTACAGCGAGTAGTGTGTGTGTGAACCTGAAGTCAATGTCCAGAGCATAAGGTAAGAGCAGGTGGTGGGTGTTCAAAGATGTAAGCCTTTGATATACGATTTAAAAATTAGTGTACAACACATTGTCCTGAACTTGTGCCAAAACATTGTATTTGTGTGTCTCCTGTGGAGAATCTTAGCCTTTAAGCTTACTTTTTGTAAATAAACCCCAAGCAACATTATATAAACAGCCAGAATACGAAAATTCATCTAATTGATTCTTCACAGCCCGATTGTCGCTTTAGGTCGCCTGATGTCACATTAATTTGTATACGTTTGTTTAGGACAGGTCTTTAGACCTTGATACTAATAGCCATGACAGGCGGCAGGTGGTTATATTAGTAGACTGGTAGTAGTGCGACTGGGTCAGTTACCGCTCAACACCCGTGGGTAAACCGAGCTCACCTCACGCTCTCTACAGACTGCTATACAATACTGCGTCATTCAAATTGTTACGTTTTGTGTCTCGCTCACTCTCTTCTACTTTTTCCGTTTGTAGTCATTAGTACACTGCGTGCAAATATATATATATATATATAATATATATATATATATATATATATATATATATATATATATATATATATATATATATATATGTGTGTGTGTGTGTGTGTATATATATATATATATAGAGAGAGAGAGAGAGTGTTGAGACTAAAGTACAATGTATATGTTGGTTGTAACAGGTATTGTCGCTGTGTACACATGTCCCAGAAGGTCCATGTGATGGAGCTCCACCACTACAGGCACACCAACAACTTTGTTAAGAAGTTCGGTGTTCGTGAGGAGTTTCCGCCCCTTCAGCCCGTCCGCTTCACACCCACTCCTCAACCCGACGTGATGGTCAGTCAGTCTACCAGCAGACTTCAGGCAGTTGTTTTTGAGAGATGTTTTGTTGTTACTGCTCCGAATGTGAGTGTTTGGTAAATTTTGTAATCATAGCAGGTTCTCCACCAAGCAATAGCAAAGGCGTGATTTGACTTGTGCGAACGAGTCTCTATTTTTACTTTTACTTTTATCCTCTACGCCACTGATCGGCTCGTTAGCCGCTTGGGCGATCGGTCACGTCTCTAATTACTTTTCCTTTTCATTTATCCTCTTCACCAAAAGATCGGCTCGCTAGCCGCCCGAGCGATCGGTCACTTCTCTGTCACGCACTGTTGGCAAATACTGGGCATGCACCGGCTCCTGAATGTACCTGAACCCGCTCCAGTGTTGGTCAAATCTTGCCTTGAAAGAGCTCACACTCGGTGCCGTCACAACACTTTCTGGTAGATTGTTCCAAGAGTTTACAACCCTCACTCCGAAAAAGTTTGCCCTCACAGTTTTCTGGACTTGCGGCTTCTTCAATCTTGAGCTGTGACCCCTTGTTGGGCGAGCCTCCGCCAGCTCCAAGTAAGGACACTCGACTGAGTAGTGCCCGCTGAGATGCTTATACACCTTAACTAGGTCACCCCTTGCCCGTCTGTAATATAAGCTAGGCAAGTTCAGGCGCTCCAATCTCTCAGGGTATCTGAGGTGCCGAAGTGCAGGCACCAGTCTGGTGGCCCTCCTTTGAACATTTTCAACCAACTGACAGTCCTTAGCATATCTTGGGGAACAGACGGGGTGACAGTACTCCAGATGGGGAAGCACTTCACTTTTGAAGATCGTTATGAGGGACGGACCGTCTAGATATCTGAACGACCTCCTTATAAGACCCAATAATTTATTTGCCTGGTTTACCTTCTTCTCGCAATGGCCCGAGAACTTCAGCTCATTGTCAACATACACACCTAGGTCCTTCTCACATTCAGTCTCAACTAGTGCAGTTTCTTCATCCCGTTGGGACACATGATACGCCTCCTTACCGTTGGTACGCCCCAGGTGCATCCTCTTACACTTCGTGACATTGAATCTCAGCAACCATTCCTGGAGCCCACAGAGGTCCTTCTGCAGCTCTTCACAGTCAGCTGGGTTCTTAATTTCCCGAAATAACTTAGCGTCATCGGCAAACATTTGTATGGAGGAGTGTACAACGTCAGGCATGTCATTTATGAAACAAACAAACAACAGCGGGCCCAATACACTGCCCTGTGGTACCCCACTTGTAACAGGTACGGATGACGATTTCGTGCCATTAATCACCTAACCTAACGTAAATGACGGTGCAGTCTGTAATTTCGCTAAGTCTATAGTTTTTTTATGAAGGTTCAATTAAATATCACATTTTTTGGCAATATAATTTGAATATTTGACGCGATGGTTATATTACTATATTAATCAAAGAATCCGACTGTTAACAAAAAAAAAAAAGGCATTCTAGTCATTTTTAACGATTGGGGAATTTTTGGTCATGGTTTTTTTTTTAAGCCTAAACTAAATAGTGAAGAAATGAGACGAAAATATCACTAAGCTGGACAGTGATTAAATAGCCTACTCATAGTCTCATTCTCTTATTCTATTGTTAGTAACCAAAAAATTTAAAACATGTTACAATACTGTAATGAAATTTTGTGTGATACAGTCGTATAGTTGGTGTACACTGTATACGAATAAGTCATATACAGGTATTTTGTATAGAATAATATTATAGTTTGTGCATGTAGTAGTCAGGTTCTCTGTCTTCGATTCCGCAAAAAAAAAACATGTATATATATTTAGGGGTAACTTTTCTAACTGTGGCCAATTTTATTCTTATCAATTTTGCATTTTGTTTTTCGTGGTCGATTTGTTTTTAAATTATTATATAAACGCCCAACATACACAAGGATAGCACAATATATTACTAAACATAATCTGGTAATAAGAGAATAATGTGTAACGAATATAACAAAACCCAGTATCATTCATCTATCACAGGCAATCATACGCTCGGATTATAGAGAAACTAAAGTGAAGTGTATTGATTAGACATATTAACCTTAGACAAAACTATCAAGAACAATGGAGGGACCCTACACACGCCACTGGCCTCTTCGTAACGATCTTCAAGAGTGAAGTGCTTCCCCGCCTGGAGTACTGTCATCCCGTGTGGTCCCCGAGATATGCTCGGGACTGTCAGCTGATTGAAAATGACCAAAGGAGGGCCACCAGATTGGTGCCTGCACTGCGGCACCTCATCTACCTGGAGAGATTGGAGCGCCTGAACTTGCCTAGCTTGTACTACAGACGGGCAAGGGGAGATATGATTGAGGTGTAGAAGCATCTCAGAGGGCACTACTCAGTCGAGTGTTCTTACCGGGAGCTGGCGGAGTCTCGCCCCATAAGGGGACACAGCTCAAGGTTAAAGAAGCCACAAGTCCGGATAACTGTGAGGGGTAACTTTTTCGGAGTGAGAGTTGTGAACTCTTGGAACAATCTGCCAGAGAGTGTGGTGACGGCACCGAGTGTGAGCTCTTTCAAGACCAGACTTGACCAACACTGGAGCAGGTTCAGGTACATTCAGGAGCCAGTGCATGCCCAGTACTTGCCAATAGTGCGTAATAGAGACGTAACCGATCGCCCAAGCGGCTAACGAGCCGATCGGTGGTGAAGAACAAAATAAAGCAACCTCTATGGGTGCTGGCCATAAGGTAAATGAAGTAAATATTCTTTATTTTTTTTTTACTTCTTATCTCTTCATCGTTACATTATAAAAATTGCCTTAGTATCAATATGTCACAAAAATTTCAGTGTTAGCCCATGCCAGTGGCAAGCTTTTATATAATAATCCTTACTTGGCTTGATAGCTTAGTCCATGATCAATTGTAGACCAATCCATAAAAAAAACAACAACAATGAAACTTACAAGACAGCCATCTACACGAGCAATTTCCATAATGGCCGGCTGTTTATTTTGCCCAAGGTTCCTGAATCGATGGCGTCTCGTGTTTACGTTATGTTATACTTGTACAAAGGCTTATTGGTCCAGGCGGGGTCTTTAACTCTTGAACTACCTTTGTTGTACAGTACATGCCATTTATATGCTGTTCATATTATTCACTGAAGTTTTCAACGTTTTACTTTAATTTTACATTTTATTTATTGCTTGCAGCGTTTACCAATAATTTGTACTTTTAGGCTACATTTTATTTATTGCTTGCAGCGTTTACCAATATTTTTTACTTTTACGCTACGTTTTATCATAGCGTATTTCTTATGATTTTAGTTCTATAATATTTCGCTTATGTAATATATGCTGTAAACACTAAACTCACTCTCTTTAACTTGAGCCATACGTCTGTTTCATTTAATAACAAAGACAGCGTGTAAAATATGTAGGATTCGGTGGCGTTGTTTTTCTTTTTATCTATCCTCTCTGTACAGACACTCGCTGGATCACTGGAAGTATTCGCTCAGCACACGACGGCCCATGGGTTTGGATCTGTCTACCACCTCAGGAAGAGTCGGTGGGCTGCTGGTCTGTCTCTGGGTATCACTGCCTTTTGTCTGGTTGGCGTCATCATGAGCGTCACTTGGGCTACGAGCATTGTCTCCGAGGAAAACACACAGACCACGGTATGTTGTAGACCAAACTGCCCAGTCTATACCACTAACCTGACCTAACGTAATGTAACGCTAACCTGACCAAACCTAACCAAACATAATACTTTACCAATAATCGGATGTAACCTAGCCTAAACTTATCTACATTGACCTGATCCAACCTATTCTACCACAAACCTGATCTAACCTAACCTAACTCTAACGGTCTAATCTATCCCCGACTTAGCCTAACTTAACCCTAAAACGTGTATACAGTTCACACAACAGAATTTCCTTTCGGGTTGTGTAATGTATAGTGTTCAAAGTCTTGTACTGTGTATACCATTATGTGTAACACCTCGTGGTCTACTGGACAGATGCGTGTGGGTCGACATGTGGAGGGGGCGATGATGCCTGACCTAGTGTTTTGTAATTCGCATATCTTCAACACCCAGGCGGCACAAGGTATTTATTGTCTCCGTGTTCGTCTCCCTAATTATCTTGTTGTCTCTTTTTATCAGTTTCTTTCTTTCTGGTTACACTAAATTGAGTTTATCGTTGTAGTAATGTTTGAATTATTATTATTATTTCACTCGAAGTATTGCCACGATAATGTTGTAGCCGTTGATAATTCACAGGAATGTTGAGTCCCGTTGTCAAGAATAACGCAGATGCTGTTGCCTATAGTGCAATTGTGAGGAATAGCACAGCTGTATCATGTACTAACAGTAACACACGTACTAACACACAGATGCAGGCCTGGACAAGGAACTGAGGAGCTACGTGGTTGCGTTGGCCGGTGGTGTGAATCAAGTGACAACGGAATTCAAAAACAATTCCACGTGGAGGCTGCAGGTGGAGCGGAGGTTCTACACTTTACTGCAAGACTACGGCGGTGATGTGCTCGCTCACCTGCGTCAAGTGTCATGGAGGTGAGAGTCCTTTGCTACTGGTGCTCAGCTGATCATAGACATGGAACGCTTATAGTTTTGTCAAGTTGCGGGAACAAAACCATTGGGTACAGTACATTGGCCGTATTCAAGAACAGTCATGGGGTGTACGACGCCATTTACGATGACCTTGCCCTGATCTTGTCTCAGGAATACCATCTTTTCGAAGGTCTGGAGAGATCTCGAAGTTTCGATATTTTGAGTACTACTAGCTAATAATTCCCACCAGGAAACTTGCTTGGACACTCTTCCAAAGCTTCGAAAAGTGCAGAGTTCCATGTGTTAAAGGCGACATTGCTGAAAAAAGACAGGGCAAGGTCATCGTAAATGGCGTCGTACACCCCATAACTGTTCTTGAATATGGCCCGTACCGATGACGTAATAGAATAATTATTTCATTGAGCTTGTGTCACTTGAAACTATAAGACTTTCATTGATTTTGTAATTACGCACGAAGATTAATTAAACTACTAGGTTATGTATGCACGTTGCTTTCTCTCGCTATGTATTGTTAAGCACGTGATAGTATCTCTCTATATGTTCATGAGCAGGTGAATGTGTTAAGTTTATAATATTATGTGTGTTGACAGGTGTGAGGACTTTGTGGTCAAGTGCTTCAGCGTAAATGAGGATTTATCGGGGGTGGAATGCTGCAGCCGGAACTTCCAGCCACTCGTGTCGTCCCTGGGCCTGTGTTACGTAGGCAGCTTTAACAGTTCATACAACCAGCGTATTGAGGGTGAAGCCATGGGGATGTCCTTCATTTTGAGGGTACCGCAGGAGCCACCCCAAGATGGTAATGAATTTATCGCTGTTACTAAGTTTTCAATCGATGGCGTGGGAAGTCTGCGCTGCTTTTATCATTGTTATTATTATTATTATTATTATTATTATTATTATCATCATTATTATTATTAGTAATTGTAGTATAGTGTCGTTAGAGTCTCTTGAAGGACATTAACATCTACCCCTGGCTAATGGCTCTTCCTGATTCCTCAGAGCTGGACTGGAACATTTTGAAGAAGAAAAATTTTATATATTCTGGTTTACAAGCAATGGTACGCAAGAAAGGCTTCCCCGCCACTTCGTCCGAGAAATATCCAATCAACAGTGGCCAAAAAGTCAACCTCGCTCTCTATTATTCAAAGGTGAGTCCTCTGGCAGGATTATGACGATTACGGGTCCAAAGTTACCGGAATTTTTATGTAATTAAGTTTTAGAGGTTCACCTTTGGCAAAAAAAAAATCGAGCCCAAATTGTTCTTTGGCACCGGATTTGAGTTTGAACTTCTACAGTAAGAAGTCAGGTGAAGATATTAGTTACTGTAAAGGACGGGGGGGGGGGGTGAATCTCACTGTATTAGTTTAATGCTGAACTATAACAACTGTGGAAGCTTAAAGATAGTGAAACTCGTGGTTGATGACTCTGGTAGTTTAGGTACCTGAAGCTGAAGTCACGGCAAGAAGCACTCGTATAGGCAGGAGAGATGAGCAAACTGATGGCCACCACACCCACTGCTCCCTCATCTCGCTTCCCCCTCAGATAAACAACGAATTGTGGACCACCAGCCTATGGCCGTGGTCGAAGCCACAGTGCACGCCTCGAGACGCCCCCACAGAGCAGCTCCTCAACACCCGGGACAACTGTTTCCTCGGTGGCATCTATAACACTTTTAAGAAGATGAATTGCTCTCCCTTGGTTTCTCCAAGCTTCTTGACAGGTAAACTGAGTATACTGTAATGTAATCCTTCGTTCTTTCTTGTTGGCGCTGACATACTGTTAGGGTCATTGGTCAAACGTCCAGGCTTCAGACGGCTATTGGTGAAAAAATATTTATTTAGAAATTTACTGTTAGATACAAAATGAATTCGTACACATAACTGCATATATGTAAGCCTGAATAAGTTAAATTGCGTTTTTAATATTTTTGTGTTTCTATCTTGAGCAAAAAAATAAATAAATCAGTGAAGTAGATGTGATTATGTTTGTTTATGGTCTTCAGAGAGTTACCCGGCTTGCAACATCACTAGTATGGTGAACGTTCCCAACCAATATGCTCTTTATGGTGAGTATGGTGACCAATGACGTTACTTCACATACAGTATACTGCCACACTTAACATGTTCAGTGATTGTAGGACTTGGTGACCAATGTGAGCTCTAGCGTTCATGTCAAGTGTGAACCTCACCATTTAGAATAATATGTAGTTTGGCTTTTTCGATTCTTTATTACGGCAGAGTATCATAATGAAAATAAATAGTCCAAGTATCATTGCATGAACGTCAATCAGAGCATCTTACTAGTTAGTTGCAAGTAGATTACCGTAAACACTACTTAGTTACTGCTATCTATGACAAATACTGTACTTACTTGCCCACCACTGAGAAGTATCTGGCATATATATAAAGGAATCTTATCCTGTTAAGTCAGTGAGTCATATTGTCACATTTCTTATGTATAGCTAATTATCTTCTCTCCATCATATTATATTTATCTACACATTTGTATTGGGGGCGGCAGACGAAACTAAATGCAACGTTTTGTGTGAGGAAGAGAAATTTGAAGTGAAGATGTTGGCGACCCACCTGCCACGCATATATACCACCCTGGACCAGGAACTTTCTCAGCCCAACTCAAGTTTGAGGTGAACCTACTGTACACCTTGTTGTTAACCCAAAATAACTACCTTCACATACACACTAATAAACAATATAAAGTTTTGTTAGAGTTACCTACAGTTAGCATTAGCTGTACCTGACCCTGGATACGGTTTACGCTACCACTGTATGTGATCCTTTACAACCAATGAAAATAGCTTTTTTTATTATTGAACAACAAACTGTATGACCTTTGACAGACATATAGTTTTCCGTAATAATGGAACAAATATTAATGTGCTTATGAGGTATGGTACAGGTATATGTAATGACATATAGGTGAGCAGGTGTGACTGACAGGTGTGTGATTGTTTGTGGCAGGTATGACTTGGCTTCCCTGTCCATGTACTACCCTAGCCTCAGCTATACTGAGATTATCCTTACCAAGCCCGGTCTCGGTGACTGGATCTGTAAGTATACAGTACACACAAAACCTCGTCTTCTTAACCTAACCTTACCTTACCTTACCTTACACTTTCCTAACCTAACCTAACATTACCAAACCTAACCTTAATTATCTTTTATGTCTGTTTGTTAGTGATGTTTTTGTTTATCATTTCTATCGATGTTGTCTCTGGCAGCTTGAGTACAATATATTTAAATTGTTTCAGCAGCCATATTGTCATATCTTACGGTTTCTTATTTTATTTATTTTTTTAGACTTTTTTTTGTATTAAGTTTTTGTAAGAGATAATATTTTGTGATTTTTTTGTGTGTGTGTAAATATAAGTTAATAATTGGAAGATTTTTTGTAGCTAAAGATGATATTGTGACAAAAGATAATTTGAAAATGTTTTATCGACATTTTTGTAACTAAATTATATGCGTTGGTGTTTATGACTTAAAATAATTTCCGTATTTTCATTAGAGGTGAGAATAGTGACTAATATTGTTGTTACTGTTGTTTTAGCAAGCCTGGGAGGTAAAGTTGGTCTGTGTATCGGAGCCTCCATCATCACTACACTGGAGCTGCTGGGGTTTTCGCTGTGGCTTGTCTACCTCTGCCTCAGGAACACTGTCCGTGCTCTCTGTTAACTTTTGCAACGACCCTTTGCCAGTGAACACTGCTGTGGTGAAGAACAAGCTCTGTTGGAGGTGTTGTGGTGAAGAACAAGCCCTCATGGAGGTGCTGTGGTGAAGAACAAGCTCTGTTGGAGGTGCTGTGGTGAAGAACAAGCCCTCATGGAGGTGCTGTGGTGAAGAACAAGTTCTGTTGGAGGTGCTGTGGTGAAGAACAAGCCCTCATGGAGATCCTGTGGTGAAGAACAAGCTCTGATGGAGGTGCTGTGGTGAAGAACAAGCCCTGATGGAGGTGCTGTGGTGAAGAACAAGCCCTGATGGAGGTGCTGTGGTGAAGAACAAGCTCTGATGGCGGTGCTGTGGTGAAGAACAAGCCCTGATGGAGGTGCTGTGGTGAAGAACAAGCCCTGATGGAGGTGTTGTGGTGAAGAACAAGCTCTGATGGAGGTGTTGTGGTGAAGAACAAGCTCTGATGGAGGTGCTGAAGTGCTGAAGAACAAGCTCTGATGGAGGTGCTGTGGTGAAGAACATGGAGCTGTGGTGAAGAACAAGCCCTGATGGAGGTGCTGTGGTGAAGAACAAGCCTGATGGAGGTGCTGTGGTGAAGAACAAGCCCTGATGGGGTGCTGTGAAGAACAAGCCCTGATGGAGGTATTGTGAAGAACAAGTTAGTACTAATTGAGGTGTGGTGAAGAACAGGATCTGGTGGAGGTGATGCTACCCTTACAAGGGCGGATCCAGGAGGGGGGGGGGGGGTTCGGACTTCCCCCTTTTCACCAGAAATTCCATTATTTTTCTTCAATGCAGTATTGTACTCAGGCATTTTTGTAGAGTAAAAAGTATTTACTATTGACTTCAGGATATCTCCTAATATTAAGTGCGCATGGCTTCAAAATGGCCATGATATTTGTCATATTTCAGAAGAAAAAAATTTGGGGGGGGGGGGGTGCTAACAGTGCCTCCCCCCAGCTGGGTGGGATGGCTGCGCTCGCCATGTTCCCCAACAGCAACTCTCCCCCCCCCCATTTTTTATATTCCTGGATCCACCCCTTCGGTGGACACTACTTAGACATTATTCTTGAGTGTATTATAATATTAACCTTTTCTGTAAAACATTTGTAGTTGTATCTGTAGCCTATAGCATAAATTTATCTCCGTCATAGTATTATTTATTAGTCGTATAATCTAGCAATACTGTTCTGCATTTATCAACAGTAATAAATATAATCATGATTTCTTCTTCCAAAAAGGATTTTTAAATCTCTTGAAGTTGATGGGAAATTAATATGTATATCCGTCACTCCAGGTGTATGTGTTTGGTGGCAAAACGGTATTATATAGAAAAAAAAAGAGATAAATACTGTTGAAATAAATTTATTCAGTACAATCATTATACTAGTTTATATTCGTTCATCACGTATAAAGTTGCCCACAGGTATATTGTTCCGCCCCTCGGTGGTCTGTACGAATATATGGCACCGTCGGAATCATAGTAGAATATTCAGAGTTCAGGGAGACTGGAAGCTTCACTTGTTGCCGAAGATGGCGTACTTATTGAAAAGCGGAGAGTGCATGAATTCCGGCGAGGCCATGTACTGCTGGATAGGTGGCAGGTCTTTGAACCGCTGCATGAACAACTGCAGGTTAGTGGCGCCCCTCAGGCAGCCGCTATCCAAGACTAGGTGCTGGTCCAGGAACTCGTACATCATGAAGTCCGCCATAGTTAGCTGTGGTAGTGCCAGAAATTACCTTAATAAATACCACAAGTCTTACTAAGAGTTTTTCCTTTCATTTATACACAGCACAGGGTATTATCCTTACTCATGCAGTACAATACACCCCGCTTAAAGAACAATAGCCTATACTATTCTAGGCTATACAGACCGTCCAAAGAAAAGGCTCCAGAAAGTAAAAAAAAAAAAAAAAAAAAGATAAGGGTAAACAGAAATATAACAAACATTATAAAATAAACAAGATGTGGTACACTCACTGTGTCTCCAGCAAACCAGGGCTTCTCTCCCAGGAAGTCAGAGAACTGCTTGATGGTGGTGGGCAGCCCTGCTAGGAACTCGTCCTTTCTCTCCTGAAGGCAAAATGGAAATGTATCCTCTCAGTCAGTCAATCAGGGTTATTCAGAGTTAAATGAGGCAAGTATACTATATCTAGTCTATCGCGTCAATTACCTCGTCTGTGTGAGGGTGTGCAGCCACGAACCATAACAGTGATGATAGTAATCTGGCCACGTTTTGAGATGGAGTAAAGATATAATTGTGCTAATAATATGCGTTTATAAAGATAATATTATGAGAAAGTCTTCTTGTTAATCATATCTTCTGTTGCACTAACGTAGAATTATCGAAACATATAAAGCAGTTTCCCCCGACTTACAAAGTGGTAGTAACAAACATCAGTTAAGGCCAGGCTGAAGTCCATGGCTTGGTTGACTATCATGTCGACCCTTATCTGCTCCTGCTCCGTCCTGCCACACATGTCGTGCTGGCGGGCGATGTACCTCAAGATGGCTACAGTCTGAGTGATCTTCACGTCACCATCAATGTAGTACGGCAGCTGGGGATATAACAAGTGTATTACTACATTATATGATCTCATTTTACTTTTGTTGCAAGTGAGTTTGCAGACTTCCGATCTCAGGTGTTTTAGTTAACGCACCCATCGTCAACTAACATTAGGAAAGTCGAAGCCGAGGTTGTACTTGACGGAGAACCAGCAAGTCTTGTCGTAGGTGGGTGGAGGACCAACCTCATAGCGCAGGTCCTCGAACGGTATTCCTAAATACTTAAGCAGCAGACGGATGGGCTGTGCATACTGGTGAAAAAAAAAGAAAAATTAGGTGACATCCCCAGCTCTGTTGTGTGGACGGGGAAGGGGGAGGGACCGATGGTGGAGTGGCCATTACTCGCAAGCGAATGATCCTGGGTTCAATCCCAAGGCAGTGTGAAATTATAGGCAAGTTTCTTTCCCCCATCTGCCGATCTACCCAGAAGTAATTGTCACATCACAGTCACTTGTTTGGCATGTTAAGATAACGCTGATCCTACAATTAGAGTAACTTGAACGACGCACCGACAAATACAATTAATATCAATAACATGTTTAAAAGCAATTAATGTAACACTTCCTGGAGTTAATATTCACTTCATATCTAGTATTTTACTTAACTGCTTCTATTGTTCGATCTTCATGGGATTATCATCATTTGAGTAAAATAATCACCGTGATAACAGCGTGAGGGTTGTACAAATAACAGTAATAACGTACACAACGAGTCTTCCAGTAGCCAAGCACAGGAGCCATGGTGACGCCGAGGTAATGCCACACGCGCGGGGTAGTTACTGAGTCTAGCAACACTAGTTACTTTCTAGCGGGTTTTGATGCTAATTGCAGGATAAATCGATTTTCATTTGAACATATTTTCTTAAACATCAAAAAGCATAGTTTTGCTAATTCATTCAATGTCAGCATTTTACTAACTAGTTTAAATCTGGAAAAGTAGTCTAGTACCGTGCAAGTATTGGACGCTCTGTTCGATGTTATCCCCATTATTAATCTTTAAATTGCATGGTAACTATCCTATCACAAGCTCAAGTACTCTATACTGTAGTTATGCGTGAGGACAACTGTGAAGAGTTCAATCTATTAACTGTATTATAAGTATAGTGTATAAACAGTTATATCATAGAAGCTGGAACACACACACACACACATACACAAGTTTTCATGCATACAACATTGTACAGAAGGACGTGTTGAGTTTTATTTTGTGAAGTTAGCGACTTTTTAAGACTAAATCAGCGACTTTTCATTCTCGAAGGGTGGCAACACTGTCCAGGGTGTGAGTCAAGGCCGATGCGGCGGGTGATGTAAGGAAAAGCAACTACCTAGTGCCAAGTCTTACATTCTTTCAACTATTATCATGTTCAGAGCATCTTTACTTGCCCTCTTATAACATGCACGCTGTATTTGTTAAATTTGTTGAGGATTTTCATTGTATTTTGTAATTGGGACTAATAAAGGCAATATATACATCACGAGAGAGCAACACTTGACATCTTTTTGTATTATGAGAAGTGCTTAGTAATCAGATCAGATACTGTAACCACTCTCAGGACGGGTATGTGTGTGAGACTTTTAGTAAGTGGTAAACTAATTTTAAATGGAAATTTGAGGGGTATCAGGAAGAGAAATTTACGATATGACAGCAATTATTTGTTAAAACGTTGACAAAATAGATTGTTGTGCTATACAGATGCAGAATAGCCAGAAGTTCTTTACTACAATAATAATTGCAGGACAAATTCCCCCCACAGCCAACCAAACAGGGTATTAGTTGAACCAGTAAGGTTTTATCCATGTAAAACCTTTATATTGGGATTTTGTAAAGTGAGAAATTTTCTTTTTTTTGGGGGGGGGGGATCACCTGAGAATTAGCCAACCCAGCCAATTCCACCTAATATCTGATGATTAAACACCGTAACGCTGTCTGAGTGGGTTAGAATAACTTATATTAAGGTAGGTTAGATTAGGGTGGTTAATCTTAAGGTGAAATAAGCTGGGGCTAATCTTTATGGGATCTAGACTCAGTTCTTGACCAACGATATAAAAATGTTTGATTAAACTGATAATGATAAGGCAGCCAAAGCCGAGTAACTGTACTAGGCATCTTGAATCACTGATGTCGCTATCCATTCTAGATAACTTTCACCATGCTGACTTCAGTATCAAAAGCCTCAAATACAAGGTGTAGTGAAATCAAGCACTGACTTCGGACGCTCTTTCGTTTTGAACATATAAATCTGGAATCTTTCTTGAACGAAATGCTATTGGATGGTCGCCCCACTAGAGGTCATACAGCCTTATGTTAAAGAAGCCACCAGGACAGAAAATTGCCAAGGCTAACTCATTTGGCGTAAAAGTTGTGAATTCTTGGAATTTACCTGTCAGAGAATATTGTGATGACACCGAATGTGAGTCCTTTAAGACCAGACTTAACCAGCATTGGCGCACCTTTGGTTTGAGTCCATGCGTGCCCAGTGCCTGCCAACAGTGCATAATGGAGAAATGACCGACCACCCGACCGGCTAAAAATGTTCTCATCTAAGAAATACCGCTTGAAACGTCCTGCACATAGTAGATATCATGCATTAAGTTGTCCTGTACTTCCCCCGGCTAAGAGGTAGAAACATCCACACCAAAATGCCAGTCAATAATATTTCATTTACGTTATGTCTGGAGTACTTCAGTTTCTATCTTGGGTTTTTCAGATCATTCACATTACTGTACATAGATATTTCTTAATGTATTTATATGTATTCAACGCTATAATATGTACAAAATTTAGTCATAAGTTACACGTATGTTATAAAGTAATATACAGTATGTATAGCATTCAGTTATAAGATATGTAGTCATAAAACAGTTGTATACTGTATTTATTTATTTATTTATTTATGATATAATTACAAATACAGTATTCAGGAGATGAGTTCTATTTCAGACCTGACAGCTCCCCCCACATGGCCGTTGACTTGAATGTTCCATCACTGTATCTTTATTTTGGTATGAGGCTTCGAACCCCCAGGAGCTCGTCGTCCACCGGAGAAAGCGCCAATCTTAAGCCAGCGTTTTGTTTCTCATTATAGAAAGTATAGACAAGTTCAGGGTATACTGAACAGTATAGTTAAAGTAATGAGAAACAAATACGTTATTCAGTAAAATGAGTATAGTTTATGGTTTTAGGGGTTTAACTTTTATTATGGGTTGCATAGTAGTACAATTTAAACTTTGATACCTTTACCTAGTCATGTTAAAACTACGAAATACTTGTAGATTTAGACAAAGCACATTATGTCTGCTTAGGGAAAACTTAAAATATAAAGTGGGTTAACATGGAAGGACAACACGCCACAGTAATTTATAATATTTTGTACAAGTTATATGGAAGCTGATAATTTCCTTGGCTTCACGGGTTATTGATGTGGGTTAACTGTGTGCTATGCTGACAACTTTAGATGAGACTTGCTGTACTGCCGGGACCAGCCTCGCTCCATGGTGAGTGAGTGCCTCCTATTACACTCAGACTCAACAGGATGCACTTCCTTCTGCGTGTGTATGGTGCATGTAGTTTGTATTTGAGTGTATATGTGTTTATATGCGTGTAAATACGTATACATATTGTAGTAATACGACCTAGGTATCATACGCCCCCATGCCTGCTCACCAACAGCTCACGCATACCCACAAACACTGTGTTGGCGGGGTGACGCGAACTGGCATGGCAACAATCAGAACCATCCGTCCACTGCAGGAGGTGTAACAGCCACTAGACTCAAGAGACTAAACTTATTTATTGTGTCTTAAGTTTTAGAAACTGTCACACCCTGAGATCACTGACCCCTTGTGCGACTCGACCATGCACACGTCAGATTTGCCTCGCGCGGGGGATTAAGTACCGCGCGTTGTATCCTGTTCATGATGAAGTAAAAAAAAATAGTTAAAATCATCACAGTGCCCAACACGGAAGCATACAGAGTTTATGCTTGCCCTCGTAGAATTAGTTAGTGAATATGTACCTGAGGGGCCAGTGGTTCTGTTAACATGTTGATCAGGGGCAGATATGAGGGTGTTATTGTTGGCCGTGAGCACGGGAAGTAGGGTGTAGGCCGTCCTCTACAGTAGGTGATCATGTTTGCCTAGGTTTTACTGTCTTTGTTGGTCTGTTTTGTTTTAAAGGCGTGTTTCTTCTGTTGTGTGTTTCTTAATTAAATTCTGAATGTGTCTTCAGAGTAGCCGGAACAAACCGTGATCTTTTCTGGCATGTGGGTGTTGGTGCTGGTGTGCAGAGGATGTGCTTGTAGGTGAATGTAAAGGTGATAGGTGGTAGACTTAGGTTAGGGAGCTTATTGGAGGACTTGAAGTATCGTAATGTGCGGCGTATTTAGTCAGGAAGGCAGGAGATGTTGGTGACGGCCGGGAACAGGGGTAAGGTTGGACACAAGCCAAAGATGCAGAGGAGAGGGTATGAGAGTCGGGTCACCCACTTAATAAGAATCAATTATTGTACTTCTAAAGGTGAGGACATTGTGTTGCGACTAAAAATATAATCACATATACTATTGACACGATTTATAAACACCTTTGTCAGGACTATAAAATTATTTACCCGAAAAAAGTTTAATCCCACCCCCCGGAACTTAAGATTTTTTATTCAGAAAGAATTTATATCAACTGATAAAACTTTCTTATGGCAATTTCTTGGTAAATAATTGCAATACCTTAACAGAACGTGAACTGCTGTTTCTACCTGGGTAAAGACAACTTTATAACACTACACTGCCATTTTATAAACAATACTGTACTTGTGTTGTGTAACTAAAGCTGTTCTTGTACTTATAAACTGTTCCAGACTTATAAACATGTCCTCGTAGATATAAAGTAACTATTTGGCTCATATAACCTGAGACACAAAAAATAAATAAAAAAATGGCATTAAAATTGCACTGAGGCAATTAACTTCATCTAAATACAGTATATACAAAAATTTACTTGATATCACAGCATAATGTCAGCTCGAAAATGTATCCACACCGAATTTGTATTATACTCGTACAGTGCAGGAAGTTTTGTACACGTCAAGCATACGACATACGGTGCCTTTGTTTTGTTATCCTTGGCTGAAGTGTTTTACTGATTAACTTCTTTGTATATCTGCACTCTGAGTAAGTGCATTGTTTGTATACCTACACTATATCTATTTGCTGAATCATTGTGAACTTGCATGACGGTTTCATTTTATATCTATCTGTCTGTCTGTCTGTCTATCTATCAATCTTTTGTCTTGCATTATATTCCTAACTGGAGTCTTTGGAGAATTGTCAGCAACGTCTCACGGAGAGTTAAGTGGGACCTGGATTTCATTTTTCCGGACATATCTTACTTATCCTTGTTGCTAATTTGTCAGCTTACTTAATTCTAGATGTGTGTGTGTGTAGGTTAGGCTTTCAAACAGTGTGAAGATAGGCTATTGATTCCGACCGCCCAGTTGATTTAAGAGTTATAAGGAAGTTACCGTGACTCAGCTGAATAGGAAAGACTTAACGATGATTCGAAAAGTTAACGAGTCAGTTTCATTTATCTCGTAACTTGTTGCCAAAGTAATGGAAATTTCACCAAATCTAGCAAATTCTATTGTTACTATGTCAACATTTTGCATTGAATTTTATTTATTTTAGCGACTCCTGGGATAAAAATCACCGAATATAACTCACTTTTGGAGATAATATGAGCGAAATATTTCGTATTTGGGATAAGTTTAGTAAGGTGTATCGTCTACCTTAGCGGTTATGTTGGATTACGAGAATTGGCAATACTGGCTGCTGTCTCGACCAGGGAGGCGGGAGACTCACACGGTCACCTCAGTCGTCGTATTTACACAACCTGGAGAAGATGTCACCCATACTTGGCTATTGGAAGATCCGCGGCGTAAGTTTGCTGTATTTCATTGTTATATATATAGTTTCGCTGATGAATGGCATAAATGATGACCTGTTTGTTGCTTTAGGTGTTATTGTACTGGGTGTCACGCTGTATTAATGCTGATACTTATGGGCCATGGTGTCGCCCGGTGAGCGTGACGCCACTTTGATGGTTCTCATTGTGATCTATGGAACCATCTCGTATCTTATATGAGAGGTGTCTCCGTGTTATACCTCATGTTTATATTGTTTTTACCTCTTTTTACTTGACACGTATCTTGGCTAGTGTATAATATGGTGGTAGTGAACTTGCCACGTCACGTGAAACTCATCATAATGTATCATTGGGACGCGGACAACACAAGGTTACTTATTTAATTGCCTCCTTCGTGAATACTCCTGGCCATCAAGTAAATTATACTAAACTAATTTTAACAAGTTAGGTGAATAGTTCCTCACTAGGATCAAGGACAGTGTATGACTCAGGAGCCCCTCACTAACGGTGTGTAATTTTGTGTAAGTTGCCACCAACCGAATATCAGGATTTTATCTTTGCAATCAATAGTTTAGACAATTCTTAGACACTTTGCCCTCTACAGTAGATATTTTGCTGTGACCGGCTAAGTTCCGACTAACTATTTTACCGCGAGTGCGCGCTGATTGGCTACTCGTCCATTACCGGCGAACATGAGAAATATGTGTGACTGGCGGCATTTGGCATTTATTTTGCCTCGAATCGACCGTTGTGGAGCTGCAGCATACCTAACCATAAGTTGTTCGAGTTTAATTTTACCACAGATGCTCTTATTATAAAAAAAGCGACATTTACATGAACCCAACCCAACCTGACCTGACCCAACCAACGAAACCTATCTAACCTCATCTAACTTCCTAACCGGGAGGCGGACCCCGCGTTATATTACCGGTACACATCAAGTACTTAGCCAATCAGAGCGCGCACACGGTAAAATAGCGTTAGTAGGAACTTAGCCGGGCACGGCAAATATCCACGGATCTTTTTATGACGTTTCTTAAAAAAATTATCTAACCCAGACTCCTTAACTCGCTGATCTGACATTCTGCCTCATTTACACACGTCTTAATTGTTTCTCTTACTTTGACAAAACCCATTTACATCATTTATGGCTTATTTATTTATTGTATTACTTTTATCTTAAAATTTATTTGCTCTTACTAATTTTATTAGTTTATCATTATTATTAATCTATTATACCTCCAACCCCCGCCCCCCCCACCTTGATGTAGGCCATTATAAAATTACCTGTGCCCCGTGGGCTAAAGCTTCCGCATAAAAAGAGCGAAAACTCTCTTTCTTCTGCGAGAAACATCAATGAAAAAAGTGTCTTGAAATTGTCTAAACTATTGATTTACAAAATAGAATTCTCGAGATTCAGTTGATGTGCTTGCACAAAAATACCAACAGGAGTTAGGAGCTCCTCCTAGGAGGGGGCAGTGTATTAGACCAGAACCTCACCAGGGACTGTCTGGAGCCAACGTTGTTCAATCAACAACAATACCTCGGGGAGATTTATGGTTAAAACAAATTGCAGTTGATGGCATATTCATGGAAATTTTTTATATGCCCTGTACTAATGTTACATTTTTTTTCCGGCTGGCACAGCCGATTAGACTTCTTGAAGATACACTGGCACAGGTTTGAAGATAAAATATACAGGTGTGGGACCAGCCCCCGAACCGACAAGTCATGTTGGTTCGATATCAAGAACGACATGGTCCTAGATTTCCCAAATGTAAGTATTTGAATGAAATTGAGTAAATTTGTCTTATTCATGACGGTGAAGTTTGTCTTAATTTTATTTCATTTATTTTACTAATTGTCATTACCCAAAACCAGCTAAATGGACCTGCAACTAAAATAAAAAACTTGATAATGTGTAACTTTATTGTACTCGTGTATATTTTATTGAATGGTAATGTATTTTAGTAACTGAAAAAGCTATGAGAATGATTGTAATATACCGTATACCACCCAGGATACTTTTAAGAATAACTACTGTGGATGGCAGTGGTTACCATAACACATCAACACTGATTTTCTAGGGTCAGTATATTTAACCATTTACTGAAAATTGAATATTCGGTTTGAAATTTAAAAAATTATAAATGCAACTGTACTGTACAGTATATTTACTTTTACTTTTTTTTTACTTTTATCCTCTTGCACTAATCATTTATTTAGCGCTCAGGCGTCGATCCCACCGACTCTTTTCGCTATATTCTTCACCAAAAGGTCAGCTGTACTAGCCGCCAGGCGTCAGTCTTTGTCTCTGTCACGCTTTTGTTGTAAAATACTGGGCATGCACCGGCTCCTGAATGTACCTGAACCCGCTCCAGTGTTGGTCAAGTCTTCTCTTGAAAGAGCTCACACTCGGTGCCGTCACAACACGGTTTTCCGGACTTGCGGCTTCTTCAATCTTGAGCTGTGACCCCTTGTGGGGCGAGCGTCCGCCAGCTCCAAGTAAGGACACTCAACTGAGTAGTGCCCCCTGAGATTAAAGACCAGTAGTTACACACTCCATTATACAGTACTGTACTAGCACTTGTAAATAACACAAAATATACTATTAAAGTATGATAATAATAAAACTAACTTAAATGGGGTAATAATGAATTTTAACTTTCAAATAGTGTACCAGTATGTTTTGTCATGAATGAAATGTCTGGAACCCAGTAATATGGTACAGTGTGAGACAAACCACTCAAATATTAACCCTGCCAAAACCAACTGTTGCGAGCCTGCCTATCTTCTTGCCCTCTGTTAAAAACTCAGTGGTTGCCCATGCTGGTGTTTATCTTGAATTAGCCAAATATGTCATGGTACTGTATTTATTAGCATACCATGTTAAAAAAATTTCAGAAATTGTGTGGTTTTTTAAATTGTTTATTATTCACGAGTTAACGATTGGCCAAGAAAATCTATCTTCAAATAACCTAGAAATTTGCCAGTCCCTGCTTAGTAGACACTGGCTATTCAATGAAGTTGAGCAGGTACCCTTGTGCACTGGTCTCTGAACCTCTTTCCACTGATTAGAATTTGTAAAACTTCATAGACGTTAATTTTATTTCTCAACAGTTTTTGTAGCAATTAACAGGATTCTGCCTCTCTGATAGCTGCAATGTTTTGTAAGCAGTTTCTCATAAGTTTTATTGAGATGTACAGTAGCTAAAACGACTATCTGTGCAGGTGGGGGTCTATATGCTCCGAAATTTCATGTGTGACTAGTGACAGCCATGGTCTCATATTGTTTCCCCACAAACTACACACAGATATCATGTAGTTGTTTTAGCAACTGTACAGGTATACATATTTAGGCATTTTCACATTGCTGTTTATATGTAACTACAGTATTTATTTATATAAATTTTTATTAATGGGGCCATTTTCTTGATTGTAATTGGTTTTTATTCACAGCTTCCATACTACATTGATGATGACAAGAAGGTCACTCAGAGTAATGCGATCATGCGTTACATTGCACGAAAGCATGACCTGTGTGGCAAGACAGAAGAGGAGAAGATTCGTGTCGATATCCTCGAGAATCAGGCCATGGACTTTAGAAATGGCTTTGTCAGGCTCTGTTATCTTGAGTTTGTAAGTGTTCTTGAAGTTTGTACCTACATGCTGGTGCTACAGTGAAATACAAGTACTGTACTGTATTTACTTTTATTACAGTATAGTACAAACTCTAGTGTATTCCCTTTAAAAAACAATGCCTGTCCAGTTAGGAAAAAGTGACATAAGATCCTAGAGACAGATTTTACTATTTTTATGGGTAACTCCAATTTTCAGGTATTTTATTCATATACACTACCAATTCCAGCTAAGTAATGGGTTGGATAGCTCTGCAGAAAGATAATTGTAGTGAGTAAGAGCACAGACCAGTTTTTCATATGGTGTGCTAATTGATAGTCTTACTGAATTTTGCCTTCACTCGCCAGAACCTTCAGAAGCAGCGGTACCTAGATGCTCTTCCCAACACCATAAAGATGTTCTCGGCTTTCCTAGGAGATCGGAAATGGTTTGCTGGAGAGAATGTAAGTACACATTTTACCTTTGTTCTCTGTACTTAATGATTTGACCATTACTGTTGATGGCACACTGATTCTGTATGTAAAATATTGTTGGTTGAATATTGTTGGGAATGAAATAAAAGGAAACCCAGTGTGCCGCAGATCAAAATATCAAATTGTGTTCAGTGTAACATGGGGTTCAATGGGATACATTCCCAGCCAGTCCAACACCCATATGCATCACTTGGTTAGAGGGGGGATCCTAGACTAATAATATAAATAAAAACAATTAAACACCCGCCACATTATTAACAAGAAGCCTGGTCATCATCACTTGTCCCCTTCGAGGCTAAGGGGACTCTTTGTAGGTGGAGTAGAGACATCACTCTCAATTGCCTCTGGGGAGGCTGCAGACAGAGTGGGAGTTGGAGCCCTAGAACAAGCTTGCTTGACATAAAAAGAGTTGCACTGCTCTCACATCAGTTGCAAAATCACACGTCACAAAAACAGTGAAGCACTTAAGTCACAAAAATGGAGTACCCTATGAACATTAGTGATGGTTTCACTGTAAGGGAGGAAAAAACACCGATGATAAGTAACACAGATACTGATAACAGTTGGGTTGACGATCACGGGCAGAGGGATCACCATGGAACAAAGCGCGGGACTAGAGGACCTGGTGGCAGCATGTGGGTAGATGCCGCTGTGGGTGACAAGTGCAACGAGAGAGGGGTGCCATATTCCATGCGTGGTTGGCTGGACCATCGCTCATGCTTTTTTATTTTATCATAAATATGAAGGTGGTCTTAAAACATCAAGTTTGTTAAAGTGAAATATAAATTGGGGGATACCTGTACAGTACTTGATGGGCAAAGTTGGTGCATATCTTACCCTTATGCAGAATTAGTCATTCATTTTTCCTCTGTTTATTTCTTCAATTCTTTTGAAGGAATTTTAATTTGACATCAGTTGTAACTTTTTAACCATGTTAATGTCTCTTGTCTCTTATTTCATAAAATAAGGTGCAAATTAAAAAAAAAAAAAATATTGTAAATTGTTTAAAACTAAACAAATAAAAAATTGCTTTACTGAAGATAGTAAAATCTATTTTGGATAGAAGTAAGGCCAATATGTCTAATTGTTTATCGAATTATGGAACATTAATTTCTACTAAATCAGGCTGGCTATTGTCACCACTGCATATTATCAGGGCTCTGTGATTCATCATCATACAGGGTATTCTACCCAGTACTCATATTAGTGACTTCTGTTCCCACAGATCACATTTGTGGACTTCATAATGTATGAGCTGCTGGATCAGCACTTGCAGCTCAGTGATATCTGCCTCAAGGATGCCAAGAACCTTAAGGAATTCCAAAAGCGAGTGGAAGAACTGGAGCCGATCAAGAAGTACATGTCTTCACCCAGGTTCCTGAAGGTTCCATTAAACAATAAAATGGCCAAGTTTGGAGCTAATTAAGTACAGGGTACTGTAATAATTTTGTTGTCATATGAACCTTGAATACTGTGATGAAGTCTATAAACATGAGATATAGTATGGAAGTACAGTACAAGAGGCATTATTGTGTCCTGAGTTAAAAAATTCCTTGGCTTTACAAATATTATACTTGAAAGAAATGTGTGCCATCGATTGTCATGAATTCACTTAGTAAATGGTCATATGGGAAACAAAGTATTCATGGTCTTCCATTTCACCAAATTGTTCTTTACTTGCCATTTAATGAACATGTATTTGCTTATTCACTGTTAGTGGATCTTGTTTACTGTATAGATCGGTTGGAGAATATTTTGAGAGAAGTAATTATACTAAGTATTGTAGTGTACTGTATTTGTGTAACTGATGGTAGTACAGTATGGCAGTGCCAATCAAAAAAGCATTGATAAGTAGTGTTTGAGAGTTATTATGTGAAGTACATTGCTCATGGTTAATTTAGTGAAGTAAGCTATAGTGTACAAGCACTGGTATAGTACTGTAGTTTTAAGCAGTCTTTTGTTTCATGGTTCTTATCTGATTAGCAATTAGCTTATATATTTTATACCGTGTAACCTGATCATATCTTATTGTACTGGAGAACAAATAACTTAGTTTGGTTCATGTGAACAGTGAATGGTGTAGTAAATATAGATTAATAAATTTTCTAGACTAATTGATTCTTTGATTTCAATCTGCAAGTATAGAACCCAAGTCACAGCATTCCCCTGATTTGTTCTTAGCAGCTCTGTAGGTAAACCTAATATACAAACTACTGTATAAGCGAGTTTATAACTTACTAACTTTAGTAATTTAAGTAAAGTTGAGTTAGTGTATTAGAATAGCAAAGGATGTCTCTTACTTACATTTACTCTCTTCACCAATGATCGGCTCGTTAGCCACTTGGGCAATCTGTCACGTCTCTGTTACGCACTGTTGGCAAATACTGGGCATGCACTGGCCGCCACAACACACTGGCAGATTTTTCCAAGAGTTTACAACTCGCTCCGAAAAGGTTATACCTCATGGTTTTCTGGGCTTATGGCTTCTTCAACCTTGAGCTGTGACCCCTTGTGGGGCGAACATTCACCAGCTCCAAGTAAGGGCACTCGATGGGGTAGTACCCTTTGATATGTTTATTCACATCAATTAGGTCACCCTTTGCCCGCCTGTAGTATAAGCTAGGCAATTTCAGGCGCTCTAACCTCTCTGGGTAGCTGAGGTACCGTAGTGCAAGCACCAGTCTGGTGGCCCGCGTTTGGACATTCTCGCTCTTGAAGATTGTTTCGAGGGATGGACCGCCTAGAAATCTGAACGACCATCTTATAAGACCTAATAATTTAGTTGCCTGATTCACCTTGCAATGGCCAGAGAGTTCTCACAGTAGTCAATTTATTATACAAATATTTCACTGTAAATTCTTAGTGTTAAAGGCTTCATAAGGGTGTAATCTGTGCATACTACCAAGTAATATTTATTGTATGAGTAGTTACAGAACTAAAGTGTGATGTAAACCACATCCACAAAGAAAAACATCTAATATTTACAAGTAATATTAATACGTATGTTAAGCTGAAGGGATAATAAACCTAAGGAAGAAAACATACTTATTGAATCACTAAGCAGTGTATACTGTGTAACCTGTAATGACTAAAAACAAAATCACATGTAGCCCCGGCAGGATTCGAACCTGCGACTTCCAGCAAGTAACCAATCCAACTGGCGCTCTTCCCACTGAGCTACGAGGCACACGATATAATTCTCAAGGTTCATCATCACCACCACCCTCTAGCCTCAAAGCACTCTTATAAACGTATTTTTGTCGCGCGACTTGGAAATAAAATGAGTTAGTGGAAACTTTCACACATTTACGTAACCCCTGAAGTAACTATAGTACAGCACTTATAAAACGCGAATTATAAGTCACCCTCAGTGTTCTAGAATGCTTCCTGTGGCAAGCGGAGCATTATCAATAGAACGTTTTTGTCCCGCGGCTGCTGACGGAGTAGAGGAGGTATGGGTATATAATGATAAAAGAAGGTCCAGTGGTGTAGACTCATTGAAGGTCGCAGCTTCGATTTCTGTAGGGGCATAATGGTTTTCTTGAGGTCTACCGTTTCTAATGGTGATTCAATAAAATAATTGAAGGGTGATAAAAGATGTAGGTATTAATAATTATTATATAAAGAATATTTTTCGCAGCTTGGGAAAACTATTTCGAAGCAAATGTGAGTTACAGGAGCAAGATGTAAAAACGTCAAGGCCCCGCCCGCCGTACCCTACCATTCCTCACCACACGTTTTGTGTGTGTGCGCGGGCGATTTGAACATTCATCGTAACACCGTCTTTCAAACATCTGTTGTAAATGTAAGGCATTTAACATGGAGTAGTATTAATATATGAGTAAAATAATTTATTATTATTTGTGAGAGGGATTTCACTTTCCAGTATTATTAAGAACAAGCTTGGTCGTCATAAAATGTCCCCTTCGAGGCTAAAGAGGACGCTTGTAGGTTCGAATCCCAGCGGGGAGACATAACTTTTGTTTTAGGTAAGGAAACAGTTTCTAGTGGTAATTCAATAAGTGAAGTGAAGGATGATAAAATACGCCGGGTAAAGATGCGTTTTACTAAACTCTTCGATCTTTATAAAAAAAAATATTTAGGTGTATCTTGTTCACCTTCACATTATATATATATATATATATATATATATATATATATATATATATATATATATATATATATATATATATATATATATATATATATATATATATATATTGGTTGTTTAAAGTGAGCAGTGCTTCGAGTAAAAGTGTGGGGTTAAAAAACGAAGCAAACCATTGAAAACCTCGCCCCACAAGGGGTCACAGCTCAAGATTGAAGAAGCCGCAAGTCCAGAAAACCGTGAGGGCAAACTTTTTCGGAGTGAGGGTTGTGACGGCACCGAGTGAGCTCTTTCAAGGCAAGATTTGACCAACACTGGAGCGGGTTCAGGTACATTCAGGAGCCGGTGCATGCCCAGTATTTGCCAACAGTGCGTGACAGAGACGTGACGGATCACCCGGGAAGTTAGCGAGCCGATTTTTTCGTGAAGAGTATAAATGAAAAGGAAAAGTAATCAGAGACGTGACCAATCGCCCAAGCGGCTAACGAGCTGATCAGTGGCGTAGAGGATAAAAGTAACCATTTCTAACCTATAAAATGCTTACCTTATTCGTGTTTTCGGTGTTTAGTATGTGGTGTGGTTTAGTTTTAGGTGTTCAGATGTGGAGTGACACAAACTCGAAATCGAACCTTAACCTTTTTATTGGTTAGATAGGTTTTATTTATTTAACTCGAGACTTTCGACTTCAAAGTCCTGCCTACTGGAATAGTACACATAGCATGGTGGTAATAAGATCATATCAATGTTACCACGGTTATCACTTCGATATTTTTTATTATATTTTTGTTTACGTTTATATTATAAGTATACACATTATTTATAGTGGAAATTGAAAAACATAAATATGATAAGCAGTACAACATGGGTTGTATTACGGTGGAACAAGAGGACAGAGTGTACGGATTATGTCTACTTGGCAAATCAATTTGTTTGCGATGTTAATTTCTTGTGTATCTGCATGATAATTAATGATGAAACGGTTTTGGTGGTACAATAAAAGCAAGTATATAAAGTAGGTATTACAAAAAAATATTAATACTTAGACAATAGATATTTTTTAAATTAAGAGATGATTTAATGCAGTGGTTCTTAACCTTTTTACTACCACGCCCCCTCTAGGAATTGGTCCTTCCTTCCACGCCCCCATTGCATCTATGAATAAAATTCCCTCCCAGATTTTAAAGAAAAATGAAAAATATTGTGTTTTTAGTCTTTTTATTGAGTATAAATTAGTGAGATACTTGACACTGCTTCTTAGCTACTAGATCTTGAATGCGTGGTTGAATGCCAGAGAGTGCACAACGGAAATCCCCTTCAACGTTCAGCCTGTTTTTTCTGCGGTCCGACTAATTACCCAAATGTACCCAAATGTAGCCGCAATGAAGTCAAATAATGGTCCTACATGAATAAATCGGACTGCCAATCACTTCTCGACTAGTATTTGGTGTCACAAAGTTCTGGATACTAAGGATTCACGATGAAGTATGCAGTGTGTACCTACAACAGACGGATTTTTTCTTTCGCCATTGTAATGAATCCAGACTGCACACCAAGCATGGCTGGAGCTCCATCAGTGCACACCCCGACCAGCGAGTCCCACGAAAGTTGGTTTTCCTGAAAGAAGTTTGATACATCATGAAAAATAGCTGCTGCTGTTGTACAACTTTCCATGGGGTGACAGAACAGCATTTCCTCTTTTACACTGTTGCCTGACACGAAACGAGCATACATCAGTAGCTGAGAACACTGAGCGAATTCGTTTCGTCACACTGGATGGCAAAAACAGGAGAATCTCTTACTTGGTCGAGAATTTGATCTTTGATGTCTTGAGACAATTCATTGATCCTTCCCTTGACTGTATCGTTTGACAGTGAAATTTGGGAAAGCTTGTTTGCACTCTTTCCCCAGAACGAGTTCTGCTGCCCGGAGTATGCTTGGTTTTATGAGAAACTCTCCGATGTTATGGCTCTTCTTGCTCTTTGCAATCAACATGGCGATCTCATAGGAAGCCTCAACAACCTTTGAAATTTGTTGCCGAAATTCCCCACTGCCGTCCAACTTAACCTGCTTCAAGGAGTGTCTTTTTGTTTCAAAGAATGCCTTGGGCTTGTCAGCTAGAGCAGGATGCTTGTCCTCAAGTGGCGTTCCAAGCGTGAGGGCCGCATTCCATCATTGCTCAGTCTTGTAACATATCACACACTGGGGGACCGCTGTGTCACCCTTTTGGAGAGACACGAATCCAAATCGAATATATTCGTCAAGATACTTCCGCTTCTTTGCACTCATTGAGAATTATTTGATGTGCAGTGGACAACACAAATCTGTGAACAAACCATAAGGCACGTGTAAGGTTAGATAAACATCACCACGTGCTCATGAACACCACAACATCATGATAATCACAACCACATGATCAATAACAAACATATGATCGTAAAGTTCGTAAACACTACAAGTGACTACAATCATACATGATCATAAACACCACCATATCATTAACAAACATCACATGATCATAAACACCACATGATTATTAACAAACATCAATGATCACAACATGATCATAAGCACCACTACATGATCATAAACACCACCACATAATTATTAAGTAAATATTAACAAACACCACAACATTATAGTAAACACATCATGATCATAAACACATGATTATTAAGAAACAAATCAATATCATCATAAATACAACTTTACCATAACCACCGTTACCACCACATGATTTTAAGCACCACCAACTTCTGATAAAATACAAACGGAATTCAAAACTTGCGAATAACAAACAGAGCAACACATGAGTGTTCACAATTCACCAATAAACTTATGGCTGCTTACTATTTTTAGGTAAATATAACAAATGGGGTAAATCATACCTCAACAGCCTTAACTGAATTAATGTGAGAAAAGAGGAATTATTGCCACGGACGTGTGCAGAAGACTGGGAGAGAACTGGGCTCCCCAGTCACCAACGAGCAGTATACAGGTCCAGGACGA